GTGTTTGTTCTATGTACCAAAACGTCAAGCTTATGATGTTAGGTAAGTTATATACTAAAAAAATCTTTGTCAAAATAACTTATGGTTTCCTCCGTTGCAGGGTGTAATTTAGCGGCACTTACTGATCAATTAGCAACACCATTAAAAACATATAGTGACTGTTTTAAAATAATTATAGGTCAGAATCCCATCTCTAATTGTTATTTTCACGACTGTAATTACCAAAAAGAATTTAAGACCCCAATTAAAACAAATCTGGAAAAATAACCCCTAAATTTTTGTACAAAGCTTGTGAATAGTATAAAAGAATAATATTTAAACTTCTTTCAAATGAATTGAAGTGTTTTTCGTAGTTATTAACTTACTGAAGTGTTCCAATATTTAGGTATCCACACCAATCGACTTTTTTGTATAATCTACGTATTTGCTACACTACAGTGGCAGCTCGTAGCCAAAATATTGGGGGGTTCACAATTACAAAATAAAAATCAAGTACAGATTTAGGTAACAACTTTCAGTGTTTTAAAAAGGTATATTATTAACACTGAAATGTTTTTACCTAAATCTGTACTGCCATTGTGAACCCTAATATTTTGGTCCACAGCCGCCACTGCTACACTTTAAAATAGTTTATAATGTAGTAGTTTTTCAGCTAGCAGTATTTTGTGTTAGAGGCCACTGACAGTTGTTCCCAAATGTAACAAACCACCACCGAATAAAAAAAGAAGAGAAATTGAGGTTAAAAAAAGAAGGTTATGGCGCGAGATGAATTTTATGATTTTGTATGTTTTAAGTCAAAATATATTGTTGAAAGTTATCTGTTGGTTCGAATGAAATACCCTGAAGAGCCCTTCAATACCAATTTTCTAATAAACAAATGGTTTTCTTTTAAATTTTTATTTACTGAAAATAATGTAATACATTTGATTTCGTACGTACCTCGTATAATCACATATCGACAAATTGAACGCAACCAATATTTTCCAACTAATGCTCGTACAATATATCCTGTCAGGAGGGTCCTACAGGTCTATTTATTAAAGAATCTCCGTGTAGAAAAAAACAGCAGCGGCCAATACCAGACAGATTATGTGGTCATTACATCGTTGGAAAAAAACGCGCTCGGGCATCGAAAAAATGGTCAGTTACATTCCGGTAATTGGAAAGTCGGACAGAAAATGGGGGGACAAATTAAATTACTGGTCGTCCTCGGCGGCATTAATTGAGGGAAAAAAATTGCTTTGTGTAGGAGGGCAACAAAAAAAATACCGACACAACGGCGTTACAGTGGATATGTGTTAATTTCGGCACTAGATGGGATGAACTGTTTATTTACATTTCTTTTTTTTGTTTCAGATTCTGAATTTAAATTTGTTTCTGACGATACTATGGTTTAAAATAGATTAAGCTTACATGGTAAGTAGAAATATTTCTGTATTTTACTATGTAAAATATTTGATGTGAAATATTAATTGGTAATGTAATAATTATAGTTATTAGGTATACAATTTTGTAAAGATCAGTGAGAAAATATCTGCCAAATTAGCTCAAATTTCATCTAAAATCAAATTCTCTGCGCCTATGAACAATTCATCCATGACTTATTTGCGTGGAAATAAATCTTAATAGCCGTTTATTGGAGCCGACTCCAATTTCATGTTATTACACATATAGATGTATATCTATTAGTTAGTTAGAAATACAATGTTTTAGTTTTCCAAACATAAAAATTCATCTACATAGAAGCAATATAGTCACACACATCCATTTGGTTCTTCTAGCCGGAGTACATTACAAAATATCAAATTTCTAGAATATTGGTTCACCAGTCTGTGAATCAAGAATTTTGGATATTCATCAATCAGAAATCACCTTATAACAGTGGTCGCCAACCTCTCAATGTGTTGAGCTACTTTGTTAATTTTGGAATAAACAGCGAGCTACCCACACGGAAGCCACGTAACACAACGTAAATGAAATAATCCACAGTTAATTTATCATTATATGTATTTGTTTTACTATTTAACTGGTAATACATAATACGTAGGTACTAATAATAAACTAATAACAAAATAACTAATATAACTAGTACGTACTTGTTCATAGCTACATTCCTATCTACCAAACGAAGGTGTTTGAAAAATAATCACAAACTTTTATCCAGCCACAACGGCATGTCACGTAAGATTTAAAAATAGTTAATAATAACAACAAAAAAGTAACGCACTATCATGAACATAAACATTGAAAAATAAAAAAGCACGTTCAATGAGAAGGATGACACTCAGACTCATCGATAATTTTTTTAATGTTTGCAGTATAATTTGATACAGCCATTCGAATACAATTATCCAAATGTTCATCTGTAAGTCTATCGCGATATTTGTTCTTAATAAACTTCATATTGGAAAAAGAAGATTCACACAAATAGGTTGAACTGACAATGAATACTGCTTTCACTTTCAAGGCAACACGGCATAGAACTGAATATTTGTCTTTACTTACAATAGGCCAGATACATTTGGTACTTGAGACTAACGATTTTAAGGCTAAATCATTTTGAAACTCAATTACTTCCATTTCTGTTACAGTGATGTCTTCGCCAAAGTTCTGCATAACACAAGTTGCAAATTGTTGGATATCAATTTCCATAAAGGCTGAAACAACAAACTGCGCTACTAAAGCCATTTCGTTGAAATCCTTAAAACAATTTTTGAAGTTATTCTTCAGGGTAGAAACTATTTCTACATGATATTTTCTGTCATAGGGTTCTAATGGATTTTCAGATATTTTTTCTGAAAGAATAGGAAAATGCTTGGCGTCGCTGTTAATTTGGTTTTGTTCCCAAAACTCCAGCTTTTTGATAAATGCTTTTATATCAGAAATCATTTCTGCTAGTTCTTTGTCTCTCCCTTGAAGCTGCAAATTAAGTTCGTTTAATTTCTCTGTAATGTCCACGAGAAAACCAAAATCTCTAAGCCAGATTGAATTTACTAGTTCCGGAGTCGGTTCATCGCGTTGTTTAAAAAATTAAAGTATGCCAGATAGGACATCATTAAAATGTTTCAGCACCCGTCCTCTACTTAACCATCAGACTTCAGAATGAAGGAGTAGATCCCCGTATTGACAGTCAACTTCATCGGCCAAGGTTTTGAATAATCTTCTTTGCAACGCTTGAGCTCTAATCTTGTTCACAATTTTTACCACCAGTTTCATAACGTTGTTTAGTTTCAGGAAATTTCCACATAATGCTTGCTAATGGATAATACAGTGGTAACAGAGAAATTGCGGAAAAGTTTCATCTTTACGACATAACGCCACCAGACCCTTATCACAACCCACCATAGCTGGAGCGCCATCGGTTGTCAAGCCTACCATTTTCGATATTTGAATTTTCTCGGAAGAAATAATATTTTTTAAATGAGACAATAACTCCTATCCAGTAGTGTGTCCTTTCAGTGAAATAAACTTCAAAAGATCTTCTTTAATCGTAAAATCACTAAAAAACCATCCTGACGAACACGACCGTTTGGGTAGTGTCAACGACATCTGTTGATTCATCCAGTTGAAGTGAAAAATAAACACAATTATCTAAGTTAGTTCTTAAGTGTAAAAAAATATCATTGCTCATTACTTCTACACGTCTCATCACTGTATTAGCAGAAACTATCTCGTCTTTATTTCTAAAGTTGGCAAATAACGAATCAGCAGCTTCTAAAAACGCCTGTTTTATCATTTCCCCGTCTTCATAAGGTTTCTTTTTTTGTGCAATTATCTGGGACACACGGTACGATGCTTCAGTTGCAGCCTTATTTTTGTCGACTGTTCTTAAAAATATTGATTGTTGTCCAATAAACTGCTTTTTTAACTGTTTCAGTTTCTCCTTTCTGGCGGCAGAATGTAGTGGGAATGATTTTTCAAAATTAGAATGTACAGTTTTATGATGTCTCTCAATATTTCCTTTTTTTAGCAACGGAGACCGAAGTAGTACATAACAAACACACATTTTTATTTTTATCTTCTGTAAAACAGTATTGTTCTTCCCATTCCGAATGAAAGTGGTATGTCTTTACCTTCTTACAACTGCTTGCCATAATATTATTTTTCATTGTTCTCTACTAACCCAACCGCTGGACGTTGGTTACGCGTTCAGTTTTAAACTAAGCGCAATGTCGCCGCGCCGTGCGTATTTATCCCGTTCAAAGCAATCCTGATCGTTCTCGAACACAAACGCGCTGGTCCGGCTGGTCGGTTCTAGCCGATTCTAGCTTGATGGCGTTAGCGGCAGATCGCTCACCGCAACGTTGCCGCTGTTTATGTTTAATATTATGATATTTAGATTTTTTGTGGAATTTTCGGAAACTTCTCTGATTTTTGCAGTTTGTATTTTTTAAATTAAAATCGTTGTGAGAGCTACCAGAATTGCCTCCGCGAGCTACCGGTAGCTCGCGATCGACAGGTTGGAGACCACTGCTTTATAGTAACCATTTTCAAACAATATTCAACTATTAAGTGTAAGTAGAGATGGCTGATCCGAGTATTTTTGTAGATCAGTTCTAAACTAGTCCAGTCCAGCATAAAACCTAGTCCAAGGGATCAGTTCCAGTTCCTAGTCCAGGCCACTGTTCGTAGTGTATCAAAGATCGTAATAGTTGTGGGTACCGGATTCTTGATTTCTTTATTTACATCAATTACAATTACACATACAAAAGGCGGTCCGGCGGACTGGCTATATTCTCTATTGTCTTTCTCTCGTTCACTAGTATACATATATCCATAAAACATAAATAGCGGAGAATTGTAATGCGGTCTCATTTTAGATATAAGATATAAATGATGCGTTCTCATTTGCAACATTCTGCTCTTCTAGTTCCGTTCTCATCAAGCGCTTAGATAAATTAGGCTTTTCCTTTTAGTTTAAGTAATGTTTTAGACGTTGTTTAGTTAGTTTAGTAGAGTGCAGACAGTGTGAATAAGACTTGATATCAAGTCAAAAAAAAATGCCGGCAAATAAGCGAAGTTCTATTTGGAATTATTTTACAATAGTTGATGAAAATAAAAACATCTCAAAGTGCGATATATGTAAGCAAGAATTAAATTATAAACATTCAGTTTCAAATTTAAAAAAACATTTTAAACGGAAACATCCTACAGTAAATATTATTCCTGAAAATACAACGGCTACCACCGGTACTAACATAGATAATCGTTTATCCGAAGACAGTGCCGGCTTCGATGCAGATGAGAACAATGATCAACCAACCACATCGAAAAAAATAAAATTAGATATTTTATCCAGTAACAAACAAAACATAGAGAGAAGAAAACAGCAAAATATATCTACTTACATACCAAAGAAAATTACAGGTAATATAAAAAAAAAGATTGATTCAAATTTACTTGGATTGTTTATCCTGGACTACCAACCTTTTAGCATAGTGGAAGATAAAGGTTTCAGAACGTTTGTAAATTCGTTGAATCCATCCTACGATTTACCAAATAGGCATACAATATCGGACACTCTTATTCCGATGGAATACGAAAAATCATTACAGGAAACGAAAGAAAAAATGCAGAATGTAACGAACGTATGTTTGACAACAGACTGTTGGACTTCCCCAAAAACAGAGAGTTTTATGGCGGTGACTTGTCACTTTATTGACAATTTTAAAATGAATTCCGTTCTACTAAGTTGCGATGTATTCGAGGAGAATCATACAGCTGTAAATTTAGCTGAAAGGCTAAAGAAAATAGTTGCAGAGTGGGGCATAGAAAAAAAAATTATTTTAACAATTTCGGATAACGCGAGTAACATTAAAAGTGCTATTAGTAAAGAATTGGGATGGAAATTCTTCGGCTGCTTTGCACATACCTTGAATTTAGCTGTTAAAGATGCCTTAATAATTGCCCAACCTATCATCGATAAAGTAAAAACTATAGTTTCGCATTTTAAACGTAGTAATTTATCTATGACGAAATTGGCAAATTTCCAAAAGCAATCGGGAATTGATATTCCGAAAAAATTAATTCTAGACGTAGCCACACGCTGGAATTCAACATTTTTTATGCTTGAAAGATTTTCAGAGCTCGAAAATTGCATTAGATCCACCTTAGGTCTTTTGGATGCCAAGTTACCACACATAATTCCAGAAGAGTGGATAGTGATAAAAGAACTGTGCGAAATCTTAAAATATTTTGAAGAAGCCACAAGATCGATCAGCGGTGAAAATTACATATCTGCGTCATTGGTTATTGTGTTAAACCGGGGTCTACTAAATATCTGCCAAGCCCTTCATGAAAAAGAATTTACTCAATTGTCAAAAGCATGTATAAAATCTCTGGAAAATGGTTTACGAAAGAGACTGGGGAACGTCGAATACAGTAATACGTTAGCAATATGTACGTTTCTTGACCCAAGGTTTAAAACATATACTTTTCAACACGATGATGCCGTTGAAAACATTAGAAAAATCGTTACCAACATCGTTACAGAAATGGTAACAAAAACGATTGAAAAGAAAACTGAGAATACCGATACCGACTCAACAAGCAATTTTGAAGAAAAAAAAGAAAACTCAAATTTGTCATTGTGGAAATGTTTAGATGAACAATTAGCAAAGTGTAAACCAAAGTCTACCAGTAGCTCGAGTAGAGCGATCATGGAAATTCAAAGGTATTTAGAGGACGACGTCCTAGACCGACACAAAAATCCACTTGAATGGTGGAAAGAAAATCAATATAATTATCCGTTTCTAAGTCAGTTAGTGCAACAAAAATGCTGTGCATTAGCAACTTCTGTTCCGTGCGAAAGATTATTCTCAAAAGCTGGCAATGTTTTAAATGAGAGGCGCACGCGACTAAGTGCAAATAAACTTAAAAAAATACTATTTTTAAATACACACGCCCAGATGAAATTAAGAGTTTAAAGTTGTTAAAATTTTTAAAGAAACTCGTATTTTTTATTTTTCAGGATTTAGACTTTTTTACTAAAACAGTCAATTCCTACAATACAAAATTTAATTTTGTTTTATAGAATTTTTTATTTTGGTTTCGTTTTAAATTAATTTTAGGGTATAAACTTATTTATTTGTGTAATATTACCTATGAATCCTGTGATGTTTTAATTTTAAAAAAGTATTTCACTTTTATTTTACTTTATTTAAAAAAATACAAACTTTGTTATTCAAAAAATATTAAAGTACTGTTCTGTAATTGATTTATTTATAAACTCTAACCCATATGCATGTCAACTTCGTAGGTAGCTCATGGATTTAACTCGATATATATCAATATTTAATTTAATCAGTTCCATCCATGGTTCTTGTTTCGCGTCTAGTTTATCGGTAACCGCTTGACGTTGTGGACTAGGACCTGTTTCAAAAATCAATTTGGATCAGTTCCACTAGTCCAAGTTACCGGACCTGTTATGAAGTATCAGTTCCAGTACCAGTTAGCCATCCCTATGTGTAAGGGGTTAAAGAAAAGGTCCTTTATTTCTCACAAGTCAATTTAATTGGCGACCGGTTTCGAAGCTGTCACTTCATCATCAGGCACACCTAAATGGAATGTCAAGGAGTCAACTGACACTTAATCCCTACTACTCACATATGGCTACCCTCACTCCAAAAAAAAAAATATATTCAACTAAACTACGCATCTAATCCCCATTCGCCACATTTCAGTATTTTTTACTTAAGGTTTTTAAATTTCTAAACATTCAGCAAATGACACTATCAATATTTCCAACCGGTCTTTTGTTAAACCTAACAGTCCTCCTAGTCATTTCAAAAAAAGAATATTGCCCGTATGTTGGAGCAGACTCCATCCATTTTCAAGTTACTATAAATATAAATTTATATATAAAGTCTACATTTTTGATTCCTTTTACATTAAAATAAAAGTACAAAAACATCAATTTGCTTGTTAATATTTTAAGATTAAAAATCAACTCTCCCGTTTTTGGGACACAGAAGATTGTTCTGAGGATAGATCAGAATCATCAGAAGAAAATGATGATAAACAAAGTTTAATTTTAACTCGTAAGCCTGACTTAAATAGTCGTTTCATTGTTAACATTCCTTTAAAAGGTTCATTAAAAATTTAAAGCGTGAACTACAATGTAATATGAAACCTTATGTCAAATTTTTGATCCAATATGAATTATTAGATCAAATGTCTTAGGTTGTTGAACCACCATCATAATATATTCAGTTTTTGCTTCCTTATGGTGTCTTGGAAGAAGATTTCTTGAGTACAAAGTTGAGAGAACTCTTTGACGGGTCATATCCTTTTTTAAGGGGAGGGGGCAAAATTACAATAGCTGCAATCTATTGTCCACCAAGATACAACCAGAAAAAAGAAAATTATCCTAATGTACTCAAAAAACTAGGTAACAAATTTATAATTGGTGGAGATGACAACTCCAAAAACAAATTGGAGTTCAAGATTAACCACAGTGAAAGGGAAAGAGTTGCACCGAGCTGCATCAAAACTTGGTTGTACATACCAATCTTCTGAAAAACCCACCATTGGCCCACCAACCCAAATAAGATTCCAGACCTTTTGAATTTCTTTATTCTGAGGAAAATTTCACCAAACTATACACAAGTAGATAAAAACTTTGATATGGATAATGTTATTGAAAAAGAAGCAAAGCCGACTCTAGCAAATCGTAAGACTAATTGGGAAGGTTTTTAAGAGCATTTTACAAATACTATTCAACTGACCATAAAGGTCTATGCCAACTATACCGTACCATACTATGACCGTGCCCGGACCTGATTTTTTTTTTGTATAGATTCAAATGAGGATGGTGTGGTCATAGTATGATCCGGTGTAGTGGGCATAGACCTTAACACTAAAAACGAAAAATCAACTAAACAAAAAACTGGAAAGGTTTATAGTTAAAATCCAGTAAGCTGCATAGACGAACACACGAAAAGTAAGAAGATTAACAGTTGGAAAAAATTATCCTGTCGAGATAAGAGAACTGGTAGCAGAAAAAAGAAAACTAAGAAAGAAATGCAGATGACAAGATCACCAGAAGATAAAAATATATTAAATAGGGCTACCAAAAGACTAAAAAGAGAAGTCCTAAATCACAAAGAAGAATCCTTTAACAGATACCTGGTAGGGCTAACAGATGATAAAGAAACGGAAAATAGCTGAAGTTATTCTAATTCCTAAGCCAGAAAAACCTCCGAATGAAGTGTCATCATATCGTTGTTACCGACAGTATCTAAGTTATTTGAAAAACTACTACTAAAACGACTAAAACCAATAATTGAAAATAAAAATCTGATCCCTTCGCATCAATTTGGTTTTAGAAACAAACACTCGACAATAGATTAAGTACACAGGATAGCCGATATCATTGAAAAAGCTTACGAAGAAAAATATATATGTTCAGCTATATTTCATGACGTTGAATAAGCATTTGACAAGGTTTGCCACACTGGCCTGATACAAAAACTTGAAAAAATGCCCCCTAGTCCATATGTCGACATTTTATAATCATATCTTACGGAAAGAGTGTTTAGAGTAAATCAAGACGAGGCATACTCCGAAATAAGAGAAATTAAAGCAGGTATCCTACAAGACAGTGTTCTAGCCCCGGTTCTTTACTTATTATACACCAGCGATAACTCTCAACAACAATGTGTTTATATAACATTTGCGAATGATACTGTAATATTGGCAGTTGACGGAATTAATACAGAGACCTCAGAAAAACTTCAGGAAACCTGCAAGAGAATAAATCGATGGACAAAAAAATGGAAAATAAAAATAAATCAAAACTAAATCAGTGCATGTTGATTTTACTCTTCCATCAAATGAACATGAACAAATAAGAATATATAAAGGAATAAAATTTTATTATATTTTATACTGTTATACTTCTGTCAATTTTGGTTTTATATTAAACATTTATGCTGTGAAATACATCACCAATCACCAAATATTCTGACTCTTTTCTGTCAATATTTCTTGTAATTATTTTTATACAGGGTTGTTCCCTTTTTATTTATATTATGAATTAACTCTGTTTACTTATATTTTATATTATTATTGTCGATTATGAAACTAATTTATATTGGCACCTACTCTTTAACATCACAATAAATACGTAAGGGTCTATCTCTAACGATAGTGCTACCAAACAACTTTAAACATTTTAAAATTACTTACTTATTATGAGGACATTACTATAAAGACAGAACTATGAAGAGAGGATTATAAAGACAAGAATATTAAAGCAGGACTATGAAGATAGGAATATAAAGACTGGACTATGAAGACATAACTATAAAGACAGGACAATGAAGTTAAGACTATAAAAACATGACTATGAAGTCAGGACGTTGGAATGTCTAATAAGAATTTTTTTGGTGGTAAAAGTAATGATACTATTTTTTGTATTATAGAATAGAATAGAATAATTTTATTAACTATTTTACATAAGTCATTATGTTTATAGCAAGTCATAGGTGGTAACAGAATTTGAACAATATAAATAAAACAAATGAAACAATAATTATTAGGTACTTATAAAGGTTAAAATTGTGATGAGGCAGAGTGACAGTGAGATGAGTTATATTCCAGGAATAGTGAAGAATAGAATAGACACTTAGAAATATGATACGATTAACCATAGTTTATAAATAGTGTAAAAACATAAATTTCTAGTTAGTTCTCATCTTGCAGCATTCGAAATAAAGTCAATTTTTAAAAATTCGTTTTTGGGTTTGAAACCTTTAACTGATGTCTCATACAGACCGAAAATGAGCTACATAATCATTGACAGAGTAAAAACAATGTCTCAATAGATATTTTTTTAATGTTTTTTTTTAAAGCATTATTACTTAAATTTTTAAAGTTTTGCGGTAATATGTTAAATAAGTTATAATTTAGGGAATTTATTTCAGATAGACATAACCTTAAACGAGTATTTCTAATGCAATGTGAATAACGTGTCTTGTAATTATGAATATCGGACTGTTTCAGCAACACAGACTGTTTCCTATCAATTTTAACAAGTGTATGATGTAGATATAAAGTAGGTAGTGGCATAATTTTAAATTTAATAAAATTTTGTTGACAATGTTCTCTGAATCCAATGTTAGCCATAATTCTGATAACTTTTTTTGCATCCGGAAAATTTGAATAGATTGAGAAGAGTTTCCCCAAAGTTGGACATCATAGCTGACATGCGCGTGAAAGAGAGAGAAATACGTTGTTTTAAGGGTATTTAAGTTGGTAAGTTTTTTCAACTGCCGAAGAATAAACAAAGAACTAGGAAGTTTTTTCTTTAATTAATTAATGTGGGCCGACCAATTGAGTTTGTTATCCAATGTAATACCAAGTAATTTTACGTTTTTTGTTTCACATTTTGAGATAATTTGATTATTGGCAGATATCTGCATATTTTTAGTTTTTTCACTGTTAAGTTTTCATTTGTTGGTAGAAAACCATGTGTTTGCTTTGTCCGCAATTTCATCAAAAGAAGAAATTAAATTTTTATTATTTTTGTCTGTTAAGAAGAGTGTTGTATCATCAGCAAAAAAAACTGATTTATTAAATAACATAAAACGGCTTAGATCGTTAACATAAACAATGAATAAAATTGGGCCCAGGACAGAACCTTGTGGATCCCCTTGCCTTACAGTCTGAAAGTCAGACAGAACACCATTACTCATCACGGTTTGTTGTCTGTTACTGATATATGAATTTATTAGTGCAAGCGGAATTCCTCTAACTCCATAAAAGCTTAGCTTTTCCTGAAGAATATCATGAGAGACGCAGTCGAAAGCGTTTGACAGATCGCACAACATTACTGCTGTGTGATTTTCCTGCTCAAGTTCCTTAACTACATCATTCACAACATTGAGAACAGCCTGTCTAAAACCATATTGGGAGTTGCTGAAGA